AATATGATCACTTTTCAAGCTTTCCTTTATAGCATAAGCTAAGTTATGCATACTTTCACTATCCAAAGTTAATGGTACGGGTGTCAAATTAGTTGTCACTTATTTGTAACTACATTCATAATAAGATAACCCATATACGTAAAAATGAAAATGTGATAAACTCCTCATTGCAAGTACAGTTGTATGGTAACTAGGAGTTAAATCACATCACATGTTTCGTCCTATCATTATCATATCTCACGCCCATTTGCTCAGCTTAGCTACGCCTTCTTGACCAACCTAATTAGACAGAAAAACATACGACGGAGTAAGAAGTAGTACTTCTCAAGTCTAAATAAAGTCACCTGCTGTCTAGGTGACTAAATTTCCTCTAGTTTGTTCATTTTGAAATAGCTCGCAAAATGATTAATGTTCTTGCACAAAATACCATCGAAAACCAAATAACAATCGAAGCTGGGTCAAATCTAACATCGTTTGAATAAAACATTATCTTAAGATAACGAATTAATGCAAGTTGAACAGTCATTAAAATCATGTCTGTCTAACCTAGATCGATTGGTTAGTGATCTCAATAAAACTCAGCAATCTCCACAGCCCCATACTGAAGGAAAATGACATGGTTAGATTGAAGCGACTAACTGGGAGGTTGGACTCTTGAAACGATTCTACAGAAAATTATTACAGATTTATTGTATTTATTGAAGACTTGGCTTAGAGTATTTTAATATCGCTCTTATTGCAAACTGTCATTTAGTCAACTATTCTTAAACCATTGGAGATTAATTATGCATCTGTTACGCAGTTTTAAATCATATATAACCGAGGTTTTTTTAAACAAATTATGGTTTCTTATTCATGGAGCTTTGTGGTCATATAATTAGCATGAGTGATCCTGTGAGTTCTTGTGTCAGGATGATAACACAGGATAGTTAAATCTGCTTAATGTACCCGTTTACCGAATGACCGCTAGGGATAGGAAAAGCTATGCGGACCAATGAGATTTCTGATCAGTCCTATTGGCTAGGGAGTTATTGGTTTGATAGGTATAAAACGAATACATCGTAAGTGGATTCGATAATCCAATAATCTCAGTTAGTATGGGGAATATAAAAATCCATGATATTTATATCTCTTCCCCTTAACATTAGTGTTCGTTTATAGCAGAATGTTTTCTCCATACTTCCGATCGATAAATTACCCATGAGTTGATAGATATGACATTAGTTTATTATAATTCTAGGACTACAACAATAAGGACTGTTTGTTTCAACACATAAATAATGGTACAAAGGGGCATCGAATACATATGCGTTACACAAGTCACTTGATTTGTGTGGGCTGTGATACTGCACGGCTGCCCAGACCGAAGCAGGTGGTTTCCTTAAGGGGCCACGTCTGAAGCCTTCGACCTAAAGGTTTGACCCACAAGGCAGTGGAGCGAAGTCAGGAGATGCAACCCCATGGCGGCTGGTGACCAACGATAGGTTCACACGCCATTTATTCTCTCAAAATGCTGGAGCCAATGTGCACCAGTGGTTTGCGATCAGGGCTTTCCATATTCACCAAGCCGGTTATAGCACCGGTCAATCGCTTTTCGTCCTCTCAATTTCGTAAACAGCAGTAACGCCACGAGAAGGCAGTGAGTAGGACTTCGCTGGCAGTGTTGTATACGCGTGGCCATATGAGAGCATTTCGAGAGAGGGAGATGGTTCTACCCACCCCCGGCCGTACCAGGGCATTCCGGGGGTACAACAATAAGGATTGTTTTCATCAGTGTGATTAACAGTATATTGTTAGGAAACAATCACAATAATTTGTCGTTGTTTGGTGTAGTGAATCTTGATTAATTCGACTATTATTCTTATAATAGTGACTTTAAATCACTGCCCAATAACATGTTGTGTTAAATGTTATCGGAAGGGAAGTATCATTGATATTAACTACTACAAAAGAGATAAATCGTATGAATTAAGGATAATTCCAAGTAGATAATAGTAAAAATAGGTTAGATATTAAGTGATATTAGTGTATTCAGTTAGATAATGTATGAATGTACTTCTTGTAGATATGAGGTTAACAACAACATATGCTCCCATCATAAACATTAAATACTATTGCCTTACTGTTATGTCCCGATAAACATAATGAATGATAACTTTTGGGATCCATTTATGGACCACTACTATACTTATATTTTTATCGTATAATTGTTAAATAACTAAACTATACATATTCATGTTCCTCTTATTATAGGTTTTATTTTGACCCATGAACTATTATTATACGATTTACCATTCTTGAATTATGCCCTGTCCATCAATTACAATCTCCCACATTCACAGCCACTTTTGGCTAAATCTTGTACAAATGTTATTTTCTATTTTATTGGTACGATGTGGTCTGTCTGGTTGGTATATAAACCCAGTATGTTTGAAATATAATGATTCATATTGAAGAGGCTGAGACTGGTGTTCTGGACTTAACTGGCTGGGCTAGGCGGAAAGCAGGATTGATAAGTACTCTAGACTGCTCGTACGTGTTTACGCGTCATTGGTCCGATCGATAATCCACTGCTCTCTAATTGGCGCTATCGTTACGTTATACATTGACAGGGCACCCAGGCCACAAGTTATAACATTTACTTGGTGATGAATCGTTTAAAACTCACTTTATTGTTTTACGCTTTTGATTCTAAGCTATCAGTTAATCGGAAGCACGGGATACAATGGACATCTAGTCAGTCAGCTACAACGTAGGACCAGGCACATATGTGCATCGGTCCAGGTTGCCATACCGCATTAGCACAGCAAGATGAACACCGGATTCATAGGAGTGGTTACGACAAAGGTGGTGATATATAGGAGAAAAATTGCATATAAGGATATAGTATAGGAAGAAAGAATTAGTTAGTAGAAAGAAAGATATGAAGTGATTTTAATCTCGTAGTTTAAGGGAAGACAGTGAGTGTATACACCTACACCATTGTGATCGATTCTGAGCCATGTCACCAAGTCTCCAAACCATTGGTTACGATAGTCACGCGGACCCCAACCAAGTAGTCTGCATCTACCGACATGGCTCAGACTATAGATTAGTATCTTCAAGCACTGATGCCACGTTTTGGTTTGGCCGCCCCTTAATTTCTTCCAACCATCTCGAACACCGTTTAGCATTGCACGTCGTGGTAATCGGTGTTCAGGCATACGTAACACGTGACCCAACCATCTCAGTCGATATAGATTCACAACCTCATCAACTGATTTACTATCATTCCCTAATACCCTGCGTTTAACATCACTATTACTTACCCGGTGATCCCAGCAGATGAGAGCAATATTTCTAAGGCATTTGTGGTCAAATACTAGTAGCTTACGTGTCTTCTACTCTTAAAGGCCATGTTTCGCTGCCGTAAAGTAAAACAGAACGAACTGCGTGCAGTATACTCTTCCTTTTATTGATAGACGGATATCTCGCCTTCGCCATAGGTGACGTAAGTTGGCAAAAGCCAAACGAGCTTTTCGAATCCGTGCTGAGATTTCGTCTGATATCAACCCATTAGGGCTGATCAGACTTCCAAGATAAGTGAAGTTGTCGACGCGTTCGACTACTTCACTCCCTATCCTTAGTTAAGGTGTTGACGCAGGCCAGTCCTGAAGCAACAACCTGCATCTAGGATGCAGTTGGACGATCTAGACTTCGCAGATAATCTGGCCTTTCTATCCCAAACGCAACAACAAATGCAGGAGGAGACGACCAGTGTAGCAGCAGCCTCAGCAGCAATAGGTCTCAATATACACAAAGGGAAAAGCAGGATTCTCCGATACAACACAGAATGCACCAATCCAATCACAATTGACGGAGAAGATTTGGAAGATGTAAAAACCTTTACGTATTTGGGCAGCATCATTGATGAACAGGGTGGATCTGATGCAGATGTGAAGGCGCGGATCGGCAAAGCAAGAGCAGCATATTTACAACTGAGGAACATCTGGAACTCAAGGCAACTGTCAACCAAAATCAAGGTCAGGATTTTCAATACAAATGTCAACACAGTTCTACTGTATGGGGCAGAAACCTGGAGAACTACCAAAGCCATCATCCACAAAATACAGGTGTTTATTAACAGTTGTCTACGCAAAATACTTCAGATCCGTTGGCCGGACACTATGAGCAACAAACAACTATGTGGGATAGAACAAACCAGATCCCAGTGGAGGAAGAAACGCTGGAAGTGGATAGGACACACATTGAGGAAAGCACCCAACTGCGTCACAAGACAAGCCCTCATATGGAATCATCAAGGCCAAAGGAAAAGAGGGAGACTGAAGAACACATTACGCCGGGAAATGGAGATAGACATGAGAAAAATGAACAAGAATTGGATGGAACTAGAAAAGAGGGCCCAGGACAGAGTGGGCTGGAGAATACTGGTCGGCAGCCTATGAGTCATTGGGAGTAACAGGCGTAAGTAAAAAAAAGTAAGTATCAGTTAATCGTAATCAATGTAGAGCCTGGTAAAAATATACGTCGACCCGACTTTTTATACCATATTAACACAATATTGTGAAATTAACATAAATAACAAAATAATCGAAATGATATAGTAGCAATGATAATGCGTTGGACAAAGGAGAGACGATCAGTAATAGTAGATAGTTATTTCGAATCATTAACGGAATAGATATTGAAAAGGTAGTCGTTAGTGTTAGTATTATGGAGAAACACGAAATGATTATGTACTGTGAAGTTAGACACACTTGTTTAAAGGTAGTAATTAAAAAGAACTGATGTAATATTCAAGCCTTAATTGATCTATGATGTTTAAATAATACACTCAACCTGTTACACTCGGTGTTTAAGTGTGCATTCATTTAGAGATTATTTCAAGATAAAGAAAGTCAGAGACTCCAATATATATGCTCCATTGAAAGAAAATACAATCTATTCAACAAACAAAAAAGATTATAAACACACATAAATGATCAACATCAACAAATTGTTTATTTTGCTTGGTATTCAAACGCTGCATCATTGATGAAATTGGCAAGATCAATATCTCGTCGTGAAAGACCTCCTGCATCATGTGAAGTGAGTAGTATGTCCACCTATAAGTTTGAAAAAAAAAATTTATGGTATATTAACTTGTTAGTCATACTCAATAATAATGATGTTGAGATTATACAAGGTTATAAAGTATGTTCACACTTTTTGGGAGACAGATGGATATCCTACCTATAACACAATTGGTGCAAGTTAGTAAAGCGGTCGCGCTCTTCATCTTCGCATGCATGAACATCAATCAGCGATTAAACACCATGATATATCCTCACTTATATCAATGCATGTGAACATACAATCGACTGGGAAAATGTTGAGATCTTGGATAGATACAATTCGAAAATCACCAGAAAACTTTTAGAAGCTTTGCACTCTGGTCAATCAACAATCAACAAACACCTTGAAATTGATCCAATTTATCAACCAATCAGAAAATTTTTGGACAAGTATAGGACCAAAAATCAAACCAACGGGAGATGTAATCAAAATAAAGAAGTAAACAATGACAAGTTAAAGGTCAACAATAACCAATCAACATCGAGGTTTACAGGACAAGCTGTAAGCCATATGTGGAGAAATCCGAACATTTCACTTTTATCTGAAGTTTGTGCTGATGTCGTTCAGAATAACGATGGAAGCTCCACGACCAAACCATCCAGCTCAGGGAACAAAACTTCATTAAAATCATCCACCTGAGCTACAAATCTCCACCATAGTAAAATTTAAGCTCAATTCCTACATTCATATAGCAATGTTGTTGACTATTAACAGTTAGGGTTGTTTGTGTGTCCAGATTAATGTAATCGGTCAAAACTTGATACATATCAGTCCAGGTGGAGCATTTCAGAATGTCATTCAAACCATTAACAAAACTGTTTTTGCCAGAACCTTCACAAATTAAAACTACGTCATTTGTATAATCCATGTAAGTAACTCCCGATTAAGGTCGTCAATATCCAAAAAATAAGACGGAGAATTACCTTCTAAGGCAGTCAAGACAAATTTAAATTGAGGAGAGCATGCAGGCATGGTCAGAACAATTTCGTGTAGACTACTTAAATAACAGCCCCCTGCAGACCTCGGACGGATCAATAATGTTCGAATAAGTGTCTGGTATAATGGAGTACATGAAAAGCTGTTTCGACATTGACGACACAGTCAGACGAGTATAGGTATGGTTGTTTTGAAAATGAGTGAAAAGTAAATATTTGATTGGTACATAAACGATAAGGTTTGAAGCCTGTTTAATCTTTCCAGGCTTGCTTTTGCAGAAATCTAGTTAAGCGATGAGTGATTATGAGATTCAAGAGTTACTGATCAAACTAAGTTTTCTGTGATTATCACTTTCTTGCAAATTAGAAAAATTAGCGACTAAAAGCAGGAAGTTAAGATCAAATCTAACTGCACGACTGGATAGTATGTTAGCGCCAGTCCATCTGAAACGGCTAGATGATAATCCATGAAGATTTTAAAAAATAACCGATCACCAATAATTCAGAATATTCAGTAAATAATACCTACTGAATATAAAACGTTAACTTGATAGTAAAATTCAATAAAGTCATAGTAAGAACAAGAACTGTCGACTTATAGCTAACGGTATAGAGTGATTTATTTACATGATGCCGCAACAATCAAGAACGACTATCGACGTAATAAATCGTTGTATATTAAGTAGTGTAAACCTTGCAGTGTTATTTTTGACAACTGCCAACTTCACAAGAGCATCGAAATTTATAGGGTTGGCATGATCTCATCATACGTAATTCATGAAATTCTAACAAACCAAATATTTTTAAGCAAATATGGATAGTGGCTAGCAGTGGAATACAGGACAAGCGTTTTATTCTATTTGGGACTCGTCAGATGGATGTGCCCGAATCTGAGTTGATATTCACTCTGGGACTCGAACCCAGTACCGTTCGCTTTAAACACCATCGCGTTATCCACTTAGCTACTGAGTCCTGATAGCCTGCTTGTGCAATTGGGTAACGTTTAAATTCACTTGGTGCTGTTGTTTTACTTGTACCTTCCCAGTGTTATTTAGGACTGCAATCGACCAGTCTCTTATTGGCATATGTGCATCCTGTGTGGATTACCCCGATATAGCCTTAAGTTACAAGCATTTTAAGCAACTCTGGGATGCAGGTACATGCAGCTGACTAGTCCCGAATGGGATGAAACGCGCGTCAAACTGGATTCCACTACTAGCCACTATCCATATTTGCTTAAAAAGCTTGTGACTTAAGGCTATATCGAGGCGATCCACACAGGATGCACATATGCCAATAAGAGACTGGTCAATTGCAGTCCTAAATAACAATGGGAAGATACAAGTAAAACAACATCAAGTGGGTTTAAATCAAATATTTGTTTTAATTCTAGATAGTGTGACTCAATCACCAACTACAAGTTTGTGTATTCAACTTCGTATTGCATTTTTTTTATGCGGATACCATCCGAATTGGTCAAATGGTTCAGATCTAAAAATTTTATAATTAAAAGCCTTATCTACAACTGATAAGCAACTAATTAACTTCATATTTAATTTTAAACTACAATGAAAAGGATCAGAACTTAACATTTGAAAAATAATAACAAGAGATGATTTTGTAATCTAAATACACATTTGAATAATAAGTTATTTCATATTGACATAACAAGTATAATGAATGATTTCAATACACTGATTTATACATAAATTATCGTTTTAGATTAGTTTCTTATTTTAAAAAGAAAAAAAAAGAGTAATATATGCATCTGTTTCACTAAGTTGCATAACTTACAAAAGTAAGTGTCATGTACAACGACAACATGGAAGAATTAACACATGATTTGTGAAAAGAATAGAAAAGAAATTATACATTAATATTACTATGACGACATTTTGTATTGTATGAATTCGTCTTACAAGTCTTAATCAATCATGACTATTATTTTTTTACTTTATAAAAACAGATTGTTTTTAGCTAGTAGTTATATTACATGGGACTAAATGACAATTGGTAAATAGAAAATATCAGAATGGGTTTTGTAGAGATTTTTAGAAAATTCACTGGTTGAAATCATGAGTCAATTGAAGCTAGATCACCATGGAAAACCTAGAAGCACTGGACGGCCGTTTCGTCCTATTGTGGGACTCCTCAGCAGTGCGCATCCACGATCCCGCACCCCGTGAAATTCGAACCCAGGACCTATCAGTCTCATGTGTACGGTGGCGCAACTTCGTGGATTGGTTGAAGTTAGACATTAACACCGTTAGATGCCGGCTCAGTGGTCTGGTTGGTTAAGCGCTCGGGTGCGAGGCTGACAGGTCCTGGGTTCGAATCTCGCAGGGCGCGGGATCGTGGATGCGCACTGCTGAGGAGTCCCACAATAGGACGAAGCGGCCGTCCAGTGCTTCTAGGTTTTCCATGGTGGTCTAGCTTCAATCGACTCATGATTTCAACCAGTGAAATAGAAAATAATCTGTTTTAAAAATTTCCAGATAAATATTTGGCTTAAAATAAGATATACATGTTTTACAACAACAACAGAAAGAAAAGGTTTCGACGGACCTGTTGACTCAGATCAATAACTAAACACTAAAAATATACCTAGTTACCTAATTATTTGAAAGTAGTGAGTTAATGAGTATAAGAGTCCTAATTCACTAACCAAAGTTTAAATTCTAGTTACATTTTTTCTATTTCAGTTTGGGCAGATAGGTCATCATAATGATTAAACGCAATGTAGAACCTGATACATATGTGTATCAGTTCAATGTTGTCATGCCACATTAGTATAGTGAGATAAAATTATTTTAAGACAAACCAAAGAGTAGTAGAAAAGATTAAGTATAGAAAAATAGAATAAAGTATAAAGATATTTCAGGACTCAAGTTCTAAAAAATAAAAAGTGAGTGTACCTGTGCCACAGTGAACGATTCCAAGCCATGTCATTCAAACCTAACCATTGGTTGAGATAATCACACAGACCCCAAAAAGTAGTCTACACCTATTAAGATGCTTTATTCCGATTGTCAATAACTTCATGAAATGGTGTCACGTCTTGGATCGGCTGCCCCTAATTTTCTTCTAGCCTACTCTCACCCTAGACAGTATTAGCAATCGAGATAGGCAGTGGCTAGGAACACGCAGTACATGCCACAACCACTTCAGCTGAAAACACCACTATGTCAATTCATTTTCCATCTTTACCTAGTACCTGGAAGCTTCCGGGCTTTTAATGGTGGTTCAACTTGGGTCGGTTCATGATTTTAATTAAGTTCAACAATCTCCACAACCCCACACTGAAGAATATCTCATTTTCATTGCATACATTTTATTAATTACTTATCTATGTCACCCAGGTAACACAAAACATTGATACTCAGTTTTAAAGAAGATTCTTACTCATATGTAACTAGAATTAATGATTAGCCGACTACTAATGTCAATTAACTTCTAATTTTCCATCTGTTGTGTTAGAAACTGGTTACTATATTGTTAAACTGATTCACTACCATATATTCCGATATTGCTTTCAAACTTAATCATAAAGTCAACTTATAATAATGTAGAACCTTGATGAAGAACTAATTGAGAAAAAAACATTTCTTAGCTCAACTTTTATTTTTATATGTAAATAATAAGGCAAATTACATTGACCATTGTTTCATCCATGCAGAATAAACATGACCTAACGGTGTAAAAAATAAACTACAATCAACTATTTCCCGATGATTAAGACCAGTATGAGAGAATTATATTCAGCTGTAAGATCGATTAATATCTTATTCAATTTAATTGATAACACTGGACAATTATCTTTGAAGTCTTCTAGAGTTAACCCGTAAAAACCATTGGGTTAACTAAGTTAAAGTTAGTTATCATTTTTAAATTTTTACTAAGACCGAAAGGGTTAATTCTAATGTTACATTGAGCAATTGGGTAATAAAAAAGTAGATTAACGTCGATCATTCTTTTTAAAACGATCCAACGATTGTTCCAGTCTTTGGTTTGACAGTGGCTCACTAATATGACTTTTCACGACATTGCCTGACTGATTAGTGTGTAACATTTGACTGTGGTCGATCTAAACAACTATCTAGAGCTACTTGTCGATGCTTTCTCTTTCAACTCTTTTGCTTCTATTTATTTATTTATATATTTGAATACATAAATATTGGTACAATAAGGCACCAAATATATATGCGCCACACAAAACAATGAGAATTCCAGGAGAAAAAAAAAGAAGGTAAGGAGCGTAAAAAGAACAAAGGACAATAACGAACAGATTAGTGTAAGGTAGTATAATATTAATAAAAATAATAATAGTAATAATGGGGAAACGGAAAGGAACAATCAGAAGAAATCTTCCAGTTAAGGAAGAAACAACCACTTTTTATGAAGAAAGTAAAAGGTTACAGCATGATCGCCACTGGCTCCTATTCTGAGCCATATCTGATAACGTCTCTAGCCACTGTGTTGCACCATCTCTCGGACTCCAGCCAGGGAGTCGTGAAGGACCAACACAGGCCAGCCCTTCGCAGCTTTCTTTCATACCACGACACCATGTCATACACTGACCACCTCTCCGCTTTTTCCAACCAGTTCCAACGTCGGTAAATAATGCCGAAGGTAGTGGGACACCGATATCAGTGAAACCATCCAGTCATAGGCAAGGTAAAACCCAGTACATATATATCCAGTTTACGTAGAAATACCTCATTAGCAAGACGTGATGAAATTTTCGACGTGAATTCCAGAATAGTAGAGATAGTCAAAGTATAATTGGTAACAGAAAAGGTTGGGCATACAAAATACGGATTCATGTAGTAAAAAGGTTGACTAGGTAGTTTAAAATTTAAGATCTAAGGGAAGACAAAGTGAGTTTACTTTCCCATTGCGAGCGATTCTGAACAATGTTGTCTAAGGTCTCTGACCGCCGCCTGTGATAGACATTTGGACACAAACTAGCTACTTTGCATTTATATACATGGTTCAGTACAATGTTAGTTGACTTCATAGATTGGTGCCATTTTTTTTAGCTTGACTGCTCCTAGCTATTTCCAACCTACTTCTACACCAGCCATTATCGCGCTTTGGTGTGGGCGGTAGATATGCATGCTGAAAACATGTCCCAATCATCTCAGTTGGTAAAGACTCAGTACTCCGCTAACTGATTTGCCACTCATACCTAATAATCACAGTTGCTAACTTAATAGTTCCAACATACAAGAGTAATCCTTAGGTATGTATTATGATCGAGTAATTGTAACATACGAATACCCTATTTAAAAGACCAACCTTCACAACCATAAAGTATATGCAAAACGTAATAGAAAGCTAAAGCAGAGCTAAAAAGCTCATTTATACTAGTCATTGAGAGTTCCTCTTCGGTAGGTAGGTAGGTAGGTTAAGCGAATAGATTACTTTATAATTGTTTATCAACATGCCTGGTACACTGCCTGAAAGAATAGTTAAGGCACTTCTCTTCCAACTGATAAATTGTAGTTTCAAGCCTGGCCACATCTACCTAGACAATCTGGAATATTCATTAGCCCCTATAGTGCACAAAAATGTAGTTAAGTTACATGACTATCAGATGTGCAAATGATAGACAAAACGCAAAAAGCATGTAGTTGCGATTGTAGAGTCATGATTAAACTTTCTCAAGGCGTTCAACAAAAAAACATATACGATACTAGGTAAGAAATAGTTGTTAAATGTGAAAAACAACTCCGAATCGGAGTGTTCAAATCCTGAGTAACATTGATATTCTTTGAACATTATTTTGATAGTTATAGGGAAACTTGATATTAAGACTGAGCAGATCATACCAATGATATTTAGGCACACTTGTTTGATTAAAATTTGGATAAAGTAGTCTGCTCCCTGCTATATGATATTATGCCAAGATCGCAAATTTAGTTTAGAATCAACCATAGGTGGCTCAAATTTGCATTCGGCACTTTTGATATTTATATCAAGTACTACCATATTCTGATTGGAGCAATCTTATGTGATTTTATACAGTTAGTCCAGATTACATGATGTCACACGGGAATTATGTATGTTAAACAATACCGAATCGATAAAACAAAACAGTTGAAACATTTTCATTATAAACTGACACCAGCCTTAGTACAAGGACTACAAGTAGTCAAAAGTACAAGTGAATTTTGCGTACAAATACCAGTAGCTTATCTGAAATTTGATCGCTTTTTCACCATAATTTAGTTCCCTAAATCTAAATCTTATAAATGTTGGGAGCTTTGATGAATCTCAGACCATACCATATAAACTACCGTTCTGTAGGGCTACCGTAGATGGACATACCTCATTGAAGTTGTTACTCAACATGACATAGATTTTTTAAAAATGGAACTTATATTGGAGAATCTACTGATACTGACAAGTGACATACCTTATTATACACATTGAACCATTCAGGGTGGTGATTCATAATTTTGGATTTGTCTGCTATTTTTTTCATGAAGTCGAATGCTACATCAAAGTTTTTAAACATAAAAGAGCGTCGTATGGCCTCTCTAGAACCATGTTGGCACAACTCCCAATGGTGGATGTTTAGTAAAGGAGGAAGCATCTGTTCACGTTCTGGTCCCGTAAGGAGTGGCATTTTGCGCCTCTATTTTAATTTAAATATGAGAAAAGTGGAATATACTCCAGAGGAGGTGAGCACCGCAGCGTTACGGAAATGCACGACATTAGTTGGAGTACCGCAATACTTCAGCAAAGTCGCCATAATTAAATGGTCCAAATGGTCAGGACAGAATAGAAGAAGCGTTCGCTTAACGGGCTTTCATATCTAGTAGCAATGGATCACCGATGCATCTAGGTAGGAACCTAGGTATATTAATGATGTAGCGGTAAATAAATCCCCAAAATAAATAGCACTAAGTTTTCGACATTGGATGCTGACCATATGTTTTAGTGGACTGCTCACAACTGCTCATCTAGCTGAAGGCGCTCGGTCAGGCATCCGCACCAGATCACGTGTGGTAACGCCGTGCTCAACATCAACCGCAATCGCTAGCCAGATTAGATCAGAGAATTCCGATATATTGGTCATCGCCAAATATACTCTTCCGATCTCCTCGACTCTGTCTTTTGATTTCTCTGGGCGGGAACGAAATATATTAGAAGGTGTTACTGGTAGAAGCGTTGTCAAACACTGAATACCTGTGACATCATCATTGGTGAAACCGACGTGATCTGGTACACCTAATTGCAACTGTGAGTCTGTTCCTTTTTGGGATTTTTATATATCATTGCCTTATTTTTTTAATTTTTTTAAACATTGTGATTTTTTTCCGTGTTTTTTCCTGGATATACATATTTTCCCCTCGTTCATTATCGTACTTCATACTTCATCATGACTGAACAGACACCTAAAGTACTCAAGCTTAAGACTTTGTCCCCGCCTTCGTTTCAACTGATGCCTTTCTGGCCCGACAACATCGAAGCCTGGTTCTGCTACGCAGAAGCCGACTTCCACGAGCACGGCGTGGTCGACACACGTGCACAATTCCTCGCAGCAGTCAAGGCACTACCGCGCGAATTCAACAGGTACGTAACACCTAGTATGTTTACTAGTGATGTTTCCGATCCTTACGAAATCTTAAAACGCTCGATTCTTAAACGAGGAGACCTAACCGATCGACAAAGGTTAGATCAACTCTTCAACAATATCGACCTGCAACACGGTTCTGCGACGGACATGTTGCAACGGATGAGAGAGGTAATAGGCCCAAGAACTTTCGACGGTCTATTCAAACAACTCTTCTTGTCAAAACTTCCCCAACAGGTGCAAGCAGTTCTGGTCTCGTTCCAGAACAACGCCTTAGACGAGCTAGCTGCATCTGCCGACCGCATTTTAGAAATTACGAAATCTACTACCGAGGTATTTTCAGTCAAAGAAAAACCTCAAGCGACTCAGAATGATATAAACGACTTATGTCACACACTCACGCGTTATCTTAGTCTTCGTACCGACCGTAAGAGATCGCGCACACCACGTAGAAGCATTTCTCGTAAGCGATCTGTCTCTAGACCACGAGAGACAGATAATCCCGACTGGTGCTGGTATCATAACCAGTATGGAAAGTTTTCCAGAAATTGCAGAAAACCCTGCAATTTTCCCAACACGAAACCGACTGATTCGAAAAGCAATTCGGGAAACTTCCAAGCCGGCACGCGTTAACGGCAACCGTAGCCGGCGAACAAAGCCGTCTGTTATACGTCACGGATGTGACAACGAGAGTTCGCTACCTCGTCGACACTGGCGCAGAAGTTAGCGTTCTCCCAGCAAATCCTAACGACCGACTACACGAATCGACCCTAAACTTACAGGCGGCAAACGGAAAACCGATCGCTACGTATGGCAAAAGGTACGTTTACCTTAACGTGGGTTTACGCAAACCCATACACTGGATTTTTGTTGTTGCAGATGTTTCTATGCCAATCATTGGTATGGACCTTCTACAACACCACAATCTGATCATCGACACTCGCAAACGGAGGGTAGTAGACGGAAACACTAATTTGTCCGTTTGCGTAACTTCCTTTACTGGTTGTAGAGTATCCCCAGTCACAGTTAAACATATGATAGACCCATTCTATCAACCACTACTCGATAAGTACCCTGGGATACAACAAACTCAACCGAAACTACCGTGTGTAACCAGCAATGTTACACATCACATCACAACTACAGGACCACCTGTATTCTCTAAAGCACGACGACTAGCTCCTGAAAAGCTAAGGTTAGCGAAAAACGAATTCGATCACATGATGGACTTAGGGATCATACGACCGTCAAGTATCCCATATGCATCTCCGTTGCACATGGTCCCTAAAAAGGACAGCAACGATTGGCGTCCAACTGGTGACTATCGGCGATTGAACGCGAAAACCATTCCCGATCGTTACCCGTTGCCTCACATTGACGATTTGACAGCTACCTTGAAAGGTACAACTGTCTTTTCGAAAATCGACTTGGTTAAAGCGTATAACCAAATCCCTATGGCTACTGACGACATACCGAAAACAGCTATCATTACTCCCTTCGGACTCTATGAGTTTTTGCGAATGCCCTTCGGTTTAAGAAACGCGGCTCAAACATTCCAAGCATTAATAGACGACGTTTTCCGAGGTCTCAACTTCGTACATGCGTATGTTGACGACTGCCTAATCGCAAGTCCGGACAGAGAAACACATCTCAAGCATCTGGATCTTGTTTCCGAACGACTACAAAAACATGGCATAACTGTAAACGTTCAGAAATGCCAATTCGGAACCGACTCGTTAGACTTCCTAGGACACACTATCGATGCTCAAGGCATTCGACCTCTTAGGACCAAAGTGGCGGCCATTCTGGATTACCCAGAACCGACCACCGTCAAGCAATTACGCACGTTTAACGGCCTGGTAAGTTTCTATAGACGTTTCATACCCAAATGCGCATTACTTATGAAACCTCTGACCGACCAACTTCGCGGAAATGCGAAATCCATTAATTTGGACGACACCGCACGAAAAGCGTCCTCCACAGTTAAGGAACTGATTGCTAAAGCAACAATGCTCGCACATCAGGACACCCGAGCACCCATTAGCATCGCAGTAGACGCATCCGACTCGGCAATCGGAGGAGTCTTACAACAATGGGTTAACAACTCTTGGCAACCCTTGGCATTTTTCTCTAGAAGGTTGCTAGACACCGAATCGAGGTACAGCACATTCGGTAGGGAACTCCTAGCTATGTATTGTGCTGTACGGCATTTCCAACACTATATCGAAGGTCGTGAATTCACTCTTTTCACGGACCATAAACCGCTCACTTTCTCGTTAAGCTCTCCTTCTGACAAGTACTCTCCCCGTGAGTCTCGACAACTGGACTACATTTCGCAGTTTACTTCAGACATTCAACACATCTCTGGAGCAAACAATGTAGTTGCAGACGCTTTATCTCGCATAACTTCCTTGAACAGTTTCCAAGGAATCGACCTTCTTAAACTCGCCGAGCTTCAAAAAGAAGACAGTGATCTTCAGCACGAGTTATCGTCTACACCACTTAAACTACGCATCAAACAGATGGGAACAGGTAAGGAAACCTTACTTTGTGACACATCTACAGGTAGGGATCGCCCAATCGTACCGAAACATTATCGACGCAATGTCTTCAACACATTGCACAAACTTTCGCATCCAGGTGTTCGTGCAACAATCAAGCTTATAGCAGAAAGGTTTTGCTGGCCTGGAATGAATAAAGACGTGAGGGAGTGGGCACGCTCCTGTGTAAGCTGCCAAAAATCTAAGGTTATCAGACACAATAAATGTCCCTTAGGCTCGTTTAAAACTCCCGATGCTCGTTTCGACCATGTTCATCTGGATTTGGTAGGACCTTTACCAGATTCAAATGGATACTCTTATCTCTTAACCTGCGTAGACCGTTTCACTCGATGGCCAGAAGCAGTACCTATCAAGGACATCACTGCTGAAACAGTGGCCCGCACCTTCGTCGAACGATGGGTAGCAAACTTCGGCTGCCCTTCAACCATCACTACAGACCGCGGACGTCAGTTTGAATCCGATCTTTTCCGTCGTCTGACCACACTTTTAGGAATCACTCGATTCCGAACGACCGCCTACCATCCACAAGCAAACGGGTTGGTAGAACGTTTTCACCGACAACTCAAAGCTTCACTATCAGCTGCAAACGTTTCACAATGGACCGACGCTCTTCCACTTGTCTTACTAGGTATCCGCAATGCAGTGAAAGCTGACATTGGATACACTGCGTCTCAACTCGTTTATGGAACGACACTTCGACTTCCAGGAGAATTCGTGGATCCTTCATCCTCTTCAGTGAACATGGATCTAACCTCCTACACGAACAGGCTTACAAACGCAATGCGTTCAGTTAAACCTGCTTCCACTCGACCTCAATCAACTGATGTTTTCGTTCAACCTGACTTACGATACAGTACACACGTTCTCGTTCGTCGAGACTCGCATCGACGACCCTTCGAATCAGCATACGAAGGACCCTTCAAAGTTCTTCAACGTGAATCTAAGTACTATATAGTCGATAAGAACGGAACCAACGATAGCATCAGCATCGATCGCTTAAAAGCAGCGTATTTAGAAGGAAATCCTATCTACGTGGATTTTCCTTCGGTACAATCGAACGACACGACTCCGACACTTATAATACCTCATCCGACAACCAACACACACGATGATACTTCGACAGTATCCGAAAATAAACTTAAAACGACGCGTTCTGGAAGAAGGGTGAGATTTCCAGAACATTTAAACGACTATTGCACGTAAGGCACTTCTCGACATTTTATATTATTTTTTTTAAAAAAACAATTTTAATATGCCTATATATTTTTATTTCTATTTAAAAAAAACGAAACAAAAAAACAAATTTTTTTTAACGCTATTACGTGTTCATGAGTTTATTTTCCATTTTTTTTCCTCCGACATTGTGTTTTTACGCACATACGAGTGCATTTCGACATGCACTTACATTTTCTTTTTTCTTTTCCAGGACGGCTGGAAAAGAACGATGACGATGATGATGAGGATCCGAAATTGTCATTGTACATTTTC